CAGACTGTTAGAGAGGGCAGGCTGGGCTGAGGGATCCCCCCGCGAGTGCACAAATTTTTGTGCACCGGGCCACTAGTAAATAATAAAAAACATAAAGCACATATGTACCTATGTCGAAATGATGGAACTTAAAAATAAATAAATGGGAGATGGCAATGTAACCATGAAACGACGTACATCGAGTCCAATGTAACCCGAGGACTGCCTGTAGTAAGACGCCATGAAAATTCCTTGGCAAATGGGATGGGGACACTGAGACAGCTGATTCACACTGGCCACACCCAGTACCCTCACCCACCTGTTTCCTTCTCCCTTGCATGACCACTTTCTTGACATTAAGCCCTCAGGCCTATGAGGTTCTGATCAGTATCAAATAATCTTAGGAACAAAGCCTCCAGTCTGTTGATCAGAGACAGAGTTTTGGTCAAATTAGGGGCAACATCTAGGCGTCAGTTGTTTCAGTTCCAGGCCCAGAAAAGCAGCAAAACCAGATGAAGCAACCCCATGACTGACAGCAGGACCAGATGCAATGACTAATGACCCCCTACCTTAGTAATGACCAATCAGTAGAGACCATGATCCTAACCTTATACTTTCTCTCCCGCCACCCCCCCACCTGCCGCTACAGGGAGAGAAGCATCGATGTGAGACATCAATTGGTTGCCTTCCCATATGTGCCCAACTAGGGATTGAACCTACAGTCTAGGTACTGTGTCCTGACTGGGAATCAAACCCCAACCTTTTGATATAAGGGACGATACTCCAACCAAGCCTCTCTGGCCAGGGCTATACTCTCATTTTGATGAATCAGTATATTAAAGGACACCCCTGGAAAGCTGATGAATATTCTGTTGAGATCCTTCCCCAAGACTTTGCCTAAAATTCCTCCTTCAGTAAACAGATAAAAACCCTGAAGACAAAGGACCCAAGGTGTTCCCTCTCTCTCAAGCTCTCCTGTGCTTTCTTTCTTCAGGCATGTATCTTTGCTTTCTTTTTCCTAAGCTCTAAGGGTCACACAAGACTTGCAACCAGAGTAGTGGGCAGCAGCAGCTCATCCCAGGCTAATCCTCTGAACCTGTTTCCAAGAACCCTTCTTTCGTCGTTGTAACTTACTTCCTGAGTCTACACAGTCCAGCTGGCTCACTTCTTCTGCCTCTGACTTTCTAAAAGGCCAAAGCAGTTCTCTGACCGGCCTGCTCAAATCTCCTCAGAGTGCACTCTCCCTTTGTATGCTAAATAAACTTCTAGCACTAGAATTCTTGGCTCTGAATTCTTTCTTTGAAGAACTCAAGAACCAAGAGCCGACATTGCTGGGGTGGGAGGGCGCGGCGGCACAGACCCCGCTAGGACTCTGGGCAGTCCACCGTGTTTGTCACATCAGCCTCCTGCGGCATCTGGGGTTTGTCCAGGGCCATGGCTCAGCATGCAGAGCCTGCACCCACTACATTTAGATGGTGGGCCAGCCTGTGGGCATCATAGTGATGTAGTGTCCACAGACTTCTTAATGTGTCTGAGACTCAGGGAGTACACTAGCAAAGAGTGCCCACACTTGCAAATGATCTGCGACTACACCTGTTTGCTAGGCATTATGTGAGATGCTGGGGCTTGAGTGATGAACAAGAGACAGTTGGTGTCCTTATTATACTTACAGATCCTAGAAAAAGGCAGACCATTCCTAAGCAGCCTAATGGTGGAGAGAGCCACTCTCTCCCTCTCAAGTCTTCAATCTTCACTTAAACTGGGTTAAAAGAGGTTAAGCTGGGCAACAATCCCATTGTACACTAGTTTTTTCCCCTAAATTTGGGCAACATTCAAAGCATATGCTCAGTTACAATAAATGTTTTAGTTTTTAAATTTCCTATTCACTTTGAAAAGCTGCCCAGGAACTTTATAGTTGCTATTCAAAAAAAAACACAACAGACATAACCTTTACCTAATTTTAGTTTTTTAAAAGCTTCAATTAAAAAATTTCAACATATACAAAGGTTGAGAATTCTACTCTACCCATCTCCTAGCCTCGTTATCAACTCAGGGTCAACCTTGTTCTCTTTCCCCCACCAATGCTTTCCTCCCACTACCTTGTGGGATTCCTAGTAATCACATTTCCTAAAAATTAAATCGTAATTGACACACCTTAAAACACTAAGTTCAACATTCCTCTTCATTCCACTTTGTAGCCATCTGTTAGGGCCCCCATTTTTGTCAGTGCATTAACACTGGAGAAGTCCTTTGTGTGACTAGAAATTCATGTCATATTCAAAAGGTCATAATGGAAATAAATGTCAAGCCAGAACTCAACTCAGCTCTCTCAATGACCAGGGCTCCCTGGTACTACTCAATGCCACTCCCTTGTGAAATGTGTTATGGATTTTTGCTTTCTCCGCTCCCTTCCCCCCCGCCCCCCCCCGCCTTAAAATGTGACCTTATCAATAGATAATTGCAGAAATTAGTTAGGATGAGGTCCTAAGGGTAGGCCCCGATTCAATGGAGCTGGTGCCTTTCTCCGAGGGAAATTTGGACAAGTAGACAAACGCATAGGGAGAACATGTGATGAGAGCAGGGCTTGGGGCAATACTTCTACACGCCAGGAAAGCCAAGAAGTGCCAACAAACCACCAGAAGCTAGGAGACAGAGGCATGGAACAGTTTTCCACACAGCCTTTAGGGACACTTTATCTCAGAGTCTAGAACTGGGACAGCAAATTTGCTGTTTAAGCCACTGTCTGTGGCTGTTATAGCAACCATAATAAACTGATGTTACTCTTCAACATCACCAAGTCTATTTCTTTCTTTTTTTTTTAATTTAAAAATATGGATTAAAAAGTGTGTGGAACCCATAAAACAGAAAACCTATAGTTAAAAACAGGCCATAAAAGGAGGCAAAAATGAATGGTTCATGTGTTTGTAGAGGAATACAATGTTTGCTTTAAGTTGGTATTTGGATTATGCTGTTCTTCAATTCAGGTCTCATTAAAATAATAAATGAATAAAAACCCAAAACCAAACAAAGTACCATTATGGTTTAGTTTTTATACTTTTATTTCAGATTAAAGTGCATTTCTTTAAAATGTTTCAATGTCCAGTTTCAATTGGCAAGTGGTAACAACTCAGTAGGTCATGAAAATTTTTACTGTGAAATCATAAGGTTTCCCTCCCTCAATCCAGTCCTGAACCTGAAAATATACTATCAGTATAGGTGCAGCTGCTGCAAACATTGTATAAAGCATCACACAGATAAAACTGACTACACCCTTTCTGATCTACTAATGCAGTTAACTGAGGAATGAACAGGTACTTCTATGAGGTTTCAACTTAAGTCATTTAACTTACCAAATATAAAGTTTACCAAGTGATCAGAACAAAAATATTACAGGGCTAATAAATGTCTGATTTGACTTCTCTTGTCTTTCTCTAAGTGCATATTAGTCAAGTCTATCCACAGGAGGTAGTTTGAAAGCAATGAAATTACTCAACACAGAAAACAAACTGTGACTTAACCCATTAGTGCCAGATGCCTTCCTCTGACACATCATGGTTCCATAATATCCATGGCAAACACATTTACTATACTTTAAGATTAAGGAAAAAATGTTTCCTAAAAGTACTAGTATCTTCTAGAATACGGGTACTTGCACAATAAGAAAACATAAATGGAATAGGGGAACCCATTTTATAAAATACAACTTAAAGAACAGCAACAGGATTAAGAAATTAAGGAAGCTAGATCCTCTTCCCACCAGCTAGAAGCAAATAACCAAACTGACTACATGGCATGTGTGAACAAAAAAACTATCCTTTGTAACAGGAATCGGTAAACTCTACGTAAGGGCCAGAGAGTAAATGCTAGGTAATTCAGGTCAATCTGTCAGACCATTCAACTCTGCTGCTGTAGCAGAAAGGCCACCAAAGATAATATGTAAAAACATAGTTGTATCCCAATAAAATCTTATAGGCACTGAATATTAACTTCATAAATTTTCTTGTCAAAATATTTTTTTCAACCATTTAGAAAATGTAAAAACCATTCTTCGCTCATAGCATTTATACAAAAACAGGTGTCCAGCTGTAGTTTATCATCCCCTGATCTATAAAAACATACTAGTTAAGACTGCCATCTTTGTTCTTATATTCAAAACTGATTCTGTGTTCTCAATTCCATTTTTCTATTACAAAGTTCCCATTCTATAAAAATAAATCCTTTATTATAAGTATTGTTATTCAATTAAGTATGAAAATAACTGCTACACTATATTCATTTCAGTTCCATGACACTATTATGAAGGTCAGCTTTCTAGTTACATGCATTTTATCTATTTAAGAAATAATGCTGCCTCTTGTTGGAAATTTTATCACTTATCAGTGCATCAATCGCTATCAGCATATAAACCTGCTGTCTAATAAGCACAATTTTACCCACAATTACAAATCAGTACACTGTAGTCTATAGGTAATGCTTCCTCGGCTATGAGAACAAAAGGTAGGTAGGTTATTTTTCTTCTCTGTGACATTCATTTAAAATACTGCCTTCAAACTTATACTCTCAGGTAAAAAAAAACATATTATCTTCCATTCTAATAGTGTATTTCAGGGGAGTAAGCAATTCATGTTCGGTTTTAACTGTTCTTTGGTGAAGGGTTTGTCATGTAAAGAAAAAATTGTAAGACCACACTGTAAAATTTAGCATTATATTCCAGAGAACTGCATAAACACTCAATTCTGTTGAGACTACTGTTCCATTAAATATCTATACATCTTCAAATCCAAATGACTCATATTTTAATGTATACTTTCAAAAGCAATATACAAAACCTGACATATATTAGTTGGGCCATCACAAGCCACAAAGCCCAGATTTGTTTCATAGATCAAGTGGTCAATAAATCTTGATAAAACCATTTAGTAAGTACATCACTTAACTTCTGGCTACCTTTTCTTAAATGCTTTGGATGAGGGTAGATCTTACAAAAAGAATATTGAAATATGGGAGGGAAATACAGTGTCTTAACAGAATGCCAAGAAACACTCATGTTTAGAGAATCAACTCTGTCTTTCAAACTCTACTTTGCAATTTTCAACCGTGTAACTTAACAACAAAGACACAGGAAGTCTTCAGTACAATGTCAAGGCAGATCTATCACACATAACTTTGGCATTGCTAACTTCAGTGCCATTTTAATCTTTGGGGTGGTCTATTTTCAATGTTTATAAATAAAATAATGAAGTCCCGTAACTTAGAAGGCAAGATTCATTTAGAAACTAAATGCCATCGCCAATATTTTAAAATTTACTTTAATATTTAAAGAAATCAGAACATAATCCAAGACTCATTTGTCCAAACTGCTTAATTAAGAGTTTTATAATGTCAAACACTTAACTATCTGCCTACTTAAAAATATACACCTTCCATATTAACAAGGCTCCAAATTCAACCTTAAACTTTCTTTGCTATTTGAACTTTAATTTGAAGCATTCTATCTCATCTCCAATTCATAAATTTGAAAGTTACTTTTAAAAATAGACCAGCTTTTATTTTTTGTGACAGTAACTATAAGGACTTAAATCAGCTTGGGCTATCCAAACCTAACTCACCCCTTGAAGCCTCTTCAGCCTATCTAGGACAGTGCAATCCACAGACATCAATCACTATTTAGTATTTCATGTGGAAGTTTTTGAGAAATGAAGGATTGTGACCCACCACAGACACACTGAATCAGAATCTGCATTTTCACACATACATGCAAATTTGAGAAACACTGTTAAAAGTCAAAACTTCCATTGTTTGTATACAAAGTATAAAACCTTTCTAAAAACTTGAGAATAAACTGGACATGGGTCGTACTAATGATGAGTTAATAGTTTCTCCCCTACTCACTCAAGTCTTAATCTAATAATGTTAACAACTGATCTCCCTATAAAGTGACAATAAAGAATAATTCTTACTGAATTACCAAGTGGCATTAAGGGAAAACATGACCTGGCCCTACTAACTCCTGTTCAAGTTCAACTAAGCTAGCATTTTAAACAGTTCTTATTTTTTAATTTTTCTCATTCCTTGTTATCCTTTTTTAAAAATTCTACTTGTATACTTTAAACATACATACATACCATTTCCCCTCCAACTTTGCTTCTTGCCCTGCCACTTTTACTTTAGGCAATATACAATCTCACATGCTTTGCAGTCATAATTCTTAAATATATCAGAATCCCTGACTACTTTCAAGCTATATATAAAAAGAACTACCATGCTCTTATTTTTTAAGTCTTATTTTTTTACCATATTATCAAACAGCATTATCACTAAAATTGATTCATCCTTTTACTATATGGATTTAAAGCAAAAGCCACACACCATTCAACAATGGCTTCCAAACTTGTTCAAGCAGCTGAGCACCTTTAATGGGCTCACTCAAATATTGAAAATTTAAATTCACTATGAAATCCATTTTGGAACATAAAAAATCTTACTATGCTTCTGAATGCAACTGGGTCCTTTTAGTAAATGCAAAATAAATTACATTTGAGTATTACTGTCATGTTTTATTAACCATTAGAAAATATTTGAAAAAGCTAAGTTAACTTTAATAATGAAGCAACACAATGTAGTTAATTAAGGAACATTAATGCATTTTGCTACTCGGGAAATTTTTCAGAAAATTTCAAGGCAAGAATATTTTAAGTAAGGTTCCTCAGAGATAAACTTATAACTATATCAACAACGATGACTTAGCAAACTGATTTTTGTCATCAAATATTTTAAAACATATCCTTGTTGAATCATAAATGTTATAAATTAATACCTATGCTAGTATCAAATTCAGTGACTTAAGTGAATGGTAATCATTTTGGTCTCATTTTCTGCTATACTGTTCACTTCCCCAAAAACTTCATTCCATCACCAAGTTTAGTTCACACAAACATTAAAATATGTAGTCAGGAAATGTAATTTTGACTCATTTGAAGCACACATACACACCTGTCCACTAAAAACGTATATGCCTCTTTACTGTCAAATATTATTTGGGAAATGATAGACAATACAAAAATATTCTTATATTTCATTAGTTATTGCTTCAAGCTACAATCCTTAATTCAATGGCCCCAGAATTTCTTTTAAAACCATCCTTGGTATAAAAATTTCAAACTTAGACCCCAAAATATTTGTAATGACCATGGATTTACAATTACAAAAGACACGAATGTTTTTTTTGTGGCTGACTGGTGGCCCCCTTCTGAATATAGAAGCGAATTAGACACAAACATTAAACTCTCTACATTTTGAAGAATGTGTGTCTTTTCAAGTAGGGGTTAGTTCTGAATAAAGCGTGAAACTGAGATCGCTCACTCATTCTATTCAGAGAACAAATGAGACATTCTCATTATGAATAAAAAAAACAAATAGGGAAGTCAGGCACTAATGTTAGTAAAATTCACAAATGTTTTAAATATATACACCCTAGTAGGCAAAATACACATATTTCAAAAAAATAGTTTAAAATTTTTTCCAAGTTTGCTTTAGGTGCAGGTGAAAAGAGCAGATAAACTAGATTTCTTATAGTCCAAGTTGTAATGAAAATACTCTAACTCTCCTATTAAAAAGAAATGTAATGAGGCATGCTTTCTAGTGGCTGATACCCTCTTCCAAAAGACAAAAAAAAAGTATAGATATGAAGAGTAAAACTGTCATGTAACACTTTCTCATTTCTATTAACTTTACTCATTTTGGTTACTTAAGAAAATAAACCTATGTTTTAACTGAGACTATTAACTAAGTACAAAACTATTTGCTGTTTCATTTGTAAATACAGAATCTTACAAACATCTGCATCAAGTCCACAAAGCACTTCTAAATAAATGAATGGTAAATATCTTAGTAAAGTCTGCTTTAATACTTTAACCCAAAACCTGAAACTTCCAGTTTTTCTTAAAAGTTGTCCATAGTTGAATTCGGTGAAAAACAATAATTCTTTTACATCGCACATACAGTATATTTTACCAAGACCAGATTTCTTAAACCTTAGGCACAACAAATATAAATTTTTTTAAAAAATCAAGTATAAACACCTTTTATCAGCCAGCAAAAAATCCAAATAAAAAATTTCAATTTTACTTCAAATAAAATATTTTTCATAAAACGTTTAATCAGAATATGCATGAGTTTAAGTGAAATAAATGTCTGCTTGTTTCTAGTTTTTGCTTTCACATTTCAGTAAATTTAAGATTTTAGGAAAATTAGGCATAGCAGCCAATAAAATATGTAATATCAAAAAATCATATTACATAATGAACTTACAAAATTGAACTTACATAGTCATTGCCCTTCAGGTTCTGAAATGTTACCAATTTTGCAAACATTCAGTCTGAAATTGTGCCATATTTCAGAACTTATTTTATGAAATAACAAACTCAGTGAAGTTTTTTAGTTTCAACTTTGTCTTAAAATACTAAAAAGAATTATCATGAGCTGGTGACCTCCAACGCGACTGCAGATTTTTTATTATAGTGTTTGCCATGCTACCAAGTTTCTCGTGCATTTCAAATAGTTGGCTTCCTGAATAATTATGGAGATTCTCTGAATCCAGCTGAAGAGCAAGTGCACTGACCTGTGCCACAAGATTTTTAGATAATGGAGTTTCTAAAGCAACAGGATCAACTAAATCTAAAAAAAGAGGGAAAAAGTATGATTAGATTTATTTCAGGTAAAACGTAAGTTGTATATATTGCCTCTCAAGGTAATATAAAGTTTAAGTGCCTAGGTTTGAATATTGAAAATGCAGGCTGAAGTATGTAACCATGTTCCTAAAGAGAACTACCAACAGGAAAATCTAACATAGCTTACTCTGTGCCATTGAAGAAATCGCTAGACTTACTTCATTTTCATTAAAAGTATGGCCAGAATACAATGTTCATATCCTTATTGGAGTAGAGTTGACAATTATAGAAAAGCAACTGAATATACTTGAAGTAAAACAATTATTTTTCATGTACTTGGCAACTAGCACAAAAGAAAAACTTGTGTAATTCACAGGCATGGTCAAATTAAAGCTAAAAGCATAACAAAACAATTCAAGAAAGTCAACTGATCTATAAATAAAGTTGTCCTACTCTGCTAAAATATACCTGAGGCAAGTCCTTCTTCATCAGCAGAGAGAGGTTTATTTTCTGTTCCATTTATTGTTTTTTCAGAAATATCAAAAACTGGAATTTCTTCTAGTCCACGAGATTTCACCTTGATTAAACATTCAGGTCAGTAAAAAAACAAAATCAACAAATGGAAAGTTACTCTTAATAGGACCAACAACAGTACTAACACCAAAACAGAATCTGACAGCCCATCACGTGATTATTAGCTTAGCTAATATTCCTAAGAAACTATGTTCTAATAACACGCCAAAAAACCCTACAAATGAGCTTTGAAAATATGTGCAGTGAAAGTCAGTCACAAAAGACCACAGGTTTATATGACCCCACTTTTATGAAATGTCTATAATAGGCAAATCTACTGAGAAAAAAGATTAGTGGTTGCCATGGGGTTGGAAATGAAGAGTGACTGCTAATAACTTTAAGAGTTTTTTCTGGAGTAATAAAAATGTTCTAAAATTAAGACTGCAGTTGTGATTGTGTAAATTTATAAATATACTAAAAACAAAAACACACACAAATCACTGAAGTGTGTGTGGGGGGGAGGGAGAGCAGTGAATTTTATAGTATGTGGATTGTCTCAATGAAGCAGTTTTTAAAAAATTATATAATGTTTCAGAGACAATTCTCAAGGCCCATGGAACACAGAAAATACTTAAGAAACTAAATTTTTAATCTATAAAACTAAAAATAACTAATAAAGTATTTGGGTTTTTAAAAACTAACAAATGTATTTAGAAATCACAACACAAATTAATGCTAATTCTAGGACTTTGAAGTAGTTAGCAAATTCTAGTCTCAAAGATTCTAATCTAGAATACTGATTTTCATCTTTAACAGGCCCTATTTTCCATTCACTCACAATTCTGAATGTCAATGGATATATAAAGCGTCTCTGAATGGGTTTTAGGAGTCTATGAATCTTTTGAAATAATATAAAACTTTCCATATATTTTTATAGGGGGAAGAATATTGGCTTTCATTAGAAATTCTGAAAACCTCCATGACCCACAATGTTTATGTGTAAAAAGGTTGGGTATCAAAATCAAAATACTGTTAAACAAAAAACGTGCAAGATTTTTATAAACGTTTGGATTTTAACATCTAGGTTTTAAGAACCGCAGCCATGGAATTCAATAGCCAATTTTGTATAAATGAAAGAGATAAGGTAGTAGGAGAACAGAATTCAAAGAATTGAGAGGTACACTGCATAAGAACAGTTCAAAATAAATGAGAAAAACTTCTCTGTGGAATTATAGCGTGATCTTTTAAGTTACTCCTGAGGGAAGGGAAGAAAAGGTGTCATGAAATGCGTGTACAATTTAAGTACAAACTGTGTAACTGTATTGCTAGATCATTTACAATTATGCACTGCTTAATGACAGGGATACAATCTGAGAAATGTGTTAGGCAATTTTGTCATTGTGAGAATATCATAGTATACTCACACAAACCTACATGGCATAGCCTACTACATAAATGGCTACATGGTATATGCTATTGCTTCTAGGCTACAGCATGTTATTTCACACAAAAATGAGATTAAACCAAGTAAAATGATGCAATCACAAATGTAGTTAGGAGACTGCTGATGGGGTAACATGGTAAACTTTCACAGCAAACCATTTTTTACATAAGTAGGACACCCCCCACTGGGGAACGAGCCCGCAACCCAGGCATGTGCCCTCGGCCGGAATCGAACCTGGGACCCTTTAGTCCGCAGGCTGACGCTCTATCCACTGAGCCAAGCTGGCTAGGGCAGGAAGAGTACATTCTAAATAACAACAAAGTTTAGTACATATGTAAACCAGCAACACAGTCATTCATATTATCAAGTATTATGTGCTGTACAAATAATGACATGTGCTACATTTTTATGACTGTGTTGTGCAGTGCGTTTGTTCACACCAGCATTATTACAAACACATAAGTAATGCATTTACACTATGACATCAATAGGTGATAGGAATTTTCAGTTCCACTATTATCTTATCAAACCACTGCTGTATATGCAGTCTGTTGTTGACCAAAAGATTGGTATGTGACATAGGGTTGTGTATATACATGATTTATAACTGACATCTAAGTTTTTACCTGTTGCTCATGATATACTCTGAGAGCCTTTTTTACATTGGACACTTTTGGAGAGCGGATAGGAAGAGTTTTAATTTCAGATGCTGTAAGAGTACTCAAATCACCAATTGTTCTTATATTCTTGGCTCTAATGAGTTGTCCCAGTCCTCTTGCCCTGAACAGACAATAAAAAAAAGATAGAACATTATTATATAGTTTTAGATTTACTCTATTTGTGAGAGTCTATCTAGGTGAATTTCCTAATTTAAGTTCAACCATGCTGAATTTATGTATGCCCACCTAACCTACTGTGAAGACTGACACTGAACATATAAATTAAAACATAAAATTATTATCTGATGTGTATGCCTGGTTTAAGCAATAGTATTGGAATCAGACTAAGCCTAATGTGTGCTTCATGCTTACTAACATAATGACTGACTTTGATGAATTAACCTTTGTAAAGTTCATCTTATAAAGTGGAAATAACACTACTACCCTCACAGGGTTTATATTATGATTAAATAAGATAATGTATATAAAAGAGTTCAGCATGGCACCTGGAAAATAAGCACACAATTATCTTAGCCATTGTGATAAATGCTTCTCTTACTGTCCTTTCTGACCCATCTTCCCAGCTGAATTTTTATTTCTAAAATATGTATAAAGGTGCATATGAAAGCAATTCTAAATATGAGAACTTTGATAATTTAAATAGTTTTCTTAAATAAGGGGCAACTTTAAGAATACGCCAGAAGCATAATCACTTACCACATGTTTGAAGTAATCTGAGGTAAAATAATATCAACTGGTGCCATACAGTTTACCAAAGCTGGGTAAACACTTTCTGTTGGGCATGGTATGGATTCTTTAGCCATTTCTGTAATCTTAGAATAAATTTCAAAAGCCGTTAAATACACATCACCTCACTAAACATGAAAAAAAAAAGTTGCATGAAAACTAAAGCACTTCTTACTAAACATTTCTTTGAGCTCTTAAATTTAGGGCTACGTGATCCTGGGAACAGAAATCCTTTGCTTGAAGTGGTATTATGCTAGATAGGAGAGAAAAAAAAACTCAGAACCCTAGTTAACTATAAATTTACAACTCTATTTTCACAATTTAGAATACAGTAATTTCTTAATACTTTCTAAAAATCTATAATGTAATAAACTATATGATCAATTACTTGCTGGATCATCATTGCCTTTTATAACCTGTTCATGTCTGTTTACCAAGTGGCAGAAAAAGAATATATCCAATCCAAACAAGTTTTGTTCCTTAGTTAATTTTAAGACAAACTACACAGTGCAATTCTGTCTGCATACATACGTGTATTTTAAAGCCTACGGCTTACCTTAGATTGTGCAGTAGGTGAAGTTTTAACACCTTTTACTATGGGAGAACTATTTGAAGAATGGGCCCTAACAACAGAACATCGCCTATCAATGTCATCTGCCAATCCTGCTTGATATAGTGGATCTGCAAAGGAGACTCGGCGAACCTAAAAACACAGGTCATGTTTTTATTTAACAAAATTAAAGTTAAAAAATAACACCATAAATTCTCAGTATAAGGTTACCCAAAAATAGAGTGTGGGTTTAGAAGCTTAAATTTCACTAGAAATCAAGTGTACGTATATAGCTGTAGTTTTTCCTAATGACTGCTTTCACAAATAGCACAGGTCATTCCAATGATCTAGTTCTATAGCAGTGGTCGGCAAACCGCGGCTCTTGAGCCACATGCGGCTCTTTGGCCCCTTGAGTGTGGCTCTTCCACAAATACCAAGTGCGGGCGCGCACACGTACAGTGCGATTGAAACTTTGTGGCCCATGCGCAGAAGCTG